ATAAGCAAATGAATGAAATATCATTAAAAAAACACTAAAATTGAGCTAAATTAATAATATGTTTGCTTTTAAATTTTTAAATAAATTTTTAAATAGAATATATTAACATTTTTTCATTAAACATAAAAACTAAAATATTAAAATTTGGTTTTCGCAGATTATTATATATTTTTTAATAATTTATCGTAATCATTCTCATAATTCATGCTAAGCTTATTTCTTTTCTTTTTTAAAAATATATTTTCCGTGTTTTTTTTTTAAGAGCCAGACTGCGATATATTAAATTAGTAATGATATACTTCCATCATCTAAGTCAAATTACAATCAATTATTCTCTTCTATTTATATGTTCTTTTCGTTATTTTTTATACAAAATCCTAAGACTTCACTCAAAGCTAAAGATTTAATTTCATTGCAAATTAACGGCTTAGGCGTAACCAAAAACCAATTAGGCGAGAAAAAATATATAAATAAATACACCCACCCACTCACACACATACAGACATGTTACACACACTTGAGTTTATCCTGTTTGTACGGCCATAAGGCACACAATGAAAATCCGAAAGGAGCACAACAAACATTTATTCTGCCACTCAATTCTAAAGCAGACCAAAAATTTCGCTTCTCTCTTTTTGCAGTTATTAGAAGCGCAGCCAGTGCGAAAGACGAGTCTATTAACAGAGCAAACAGCCTAAAAGAACTGAAAGAATAAGGGCGCAGCAGGACAGCGTGGAAGGAGGCAAAATCCTTGGCAAATCGAATTGCTAAGCGGCTGCCAATGAGACGACGCTACACACACTGCTGTCAGCAGGGCCATCTACTGGAGCAGCAGCTGGTAACAGGAAGCTGGCTTAGCTGAAGCTGGAAGGGAATCGAAACAGTTGGACGGTTTGGCAAAAGCCGATTGAAAATTTGCTATATTGACATAAGGAAATCGTTAGCCGGCTTAGCTAGCTGCCAGTTCGGCAGGCACATTTAAAATTAAAAAATCCACCAACAATATATACACGCACACGTATATATGTATGTCAAGGCAGACAAAGTGTTATGCTAATGCGAGTGAGTGGGCCATGAATATAACATGACTCAGGCAGCTAAGCTCAGCCAAGTGATGACAATAAGCCCTAAGATGAGCAGCAGCAAGCTGGAATAGAAAGACCTCGAGAGAGAGAGAGAGAGAGAGAGAGAGAGAGAGAGAGAGAAAGGCAAGAGTAGCTTAGAGAAAGCACATTATAGATATTAACCTAAAGAGTGAGAGAGATTCTTGCACTGAAATGACGGAGCTGAGACGCTTGGAATCACTGCATAAGCAGCATTCGCTGCGCGGCGAACGTGTGCCACATCCGATGCTGCTGCAGCGCTCGCTGGCCGATTTGGCCGGCTGCAGCTTGAGCAGCGGCGGCAACAGCGTGGCCAGCACCACCAGCAGCAGCACAGCCACTGCCACCACAGCGCTGCACCAACAGCAACAGCAACAGCAGCAGCAGCAGCAGCGCAACATAGAGTTCGATGAGCATGACATTTACTATGTCTCGCCCTCTAAGCGAAAATCGGGCGTGGCACCTGTTGGACCAGCGCTGCGGCCGGCCAATGCCTACGAGGCGAACAATAATATGAACGGCAATCACAATGTGGTCACCTTCTCGGATTATGTAAGCGAACGCGTTGCCTCCATCAGCAGTTCGCATCGTGGCTCGCTGAAGCGGGCCAAGGGCCGCAGCAATCAGTCGCTCTGCAGCTGCGATGCCGGCGACGAGGCGCAACTGCAGCCGGACGCAGCGCGTCCGCTGTACGAGTACAGTTTGGAGCGACGCCGCAAGACGCACACCTACACCTGTGAGCAAAACGCACAGATACTCATGAGACTGGAGCGCGAACGTAATCGTAAATTATCACTGACTTCTATTGGCGGAGGAGTCGGCGGAGGAGTCGGCGGAGGAGTCGGCGGCAGCCAGGGCACAGCCGAATCGCAGGTAAGCAGGCAAATGCTTATGTTTATGTAATTGGAATCATGAGCAGCCCGAGTGCCAGGCACGTGCTGCGCGTGTCCCAACTGAGAGAGGCCCTACTCAATA